TATCCATATCCCAGGCATTCACGTAGCCCAGTTTTCTGCTTGCCTGCCCACGCATGTGCTGGTGCAGGGGAGTGAGGGCAGCCGGGCAGGGCAGGGCAGGGGCTCAGCCTTCCTCTTGCCCCTCTGCTGCCTGGCTGTGGGATGTAGCCTCGGCTCATCAAAGCCTTCCCTGCTGAAGAGGTGAGCTGATGAAACAGACCTGTCTGTGAAAGTCCTGCTTTGGATTTTACGGGGGGCATTATATGCCATTACAGAAGGGACCAAAGTTTGCAGAAATGCCGTAGGCATGGAAAAGCCCTCTATGCGTTTATGGAATGCATGAGTTCACTGATGATTAAGTCAGAAGAAGGGTTTATTCTGCCAGTCGGATTTCTGTAAATGTTCAAAACCAGTCAATCCCGGGCTAACAGGTAATCTTAGCAGGTGTTATGGGAAAGATGAGGCTGTTGTTCATGAAAGAGTTATCACCTCTATGCAGCCTAATGAAACATTTAAAGAAATAGCTGAAAATATATACTCCCCTCACCCCCCCCTCCAAAAAAATCATGCCACTTCTTCTGCAGAAGGAAATGTTGGGTGCAAGCAGGGCTTGTATGTTTTGATAGTGGTAGGACAAGGGGAACAGTTTTAAACTAAAGGAGGGTAGGTATATTTTAGATGTTAGGAAGAAATTCTTTACTGTGAGAGTGGTGAGACACTGGAACAGGTTGCCCAGAGAAGCGGTGGATGCCCCATCCCTGGAAATGTTCAAGGACAGGTTGGATGGGGCTTTGTGCAACCTGGTCTAATGGAAAGTGTCCCTGATAATGGCAGGGGGGTTGAACTGGATGGTCTTCAAGGTGCCTTCCAACACAAACCATTCTGTGATTGCAGTAAGGCTGCTGTGAGATTTTTCTGTAAACAAACTGGGGGGCTCTGAGGAGGGTCACAGAGTGGAGGTCACTTAGTCCAGGGAAGTGAAGAGGAAACCTGAGATATATCTGCACAATCTTAGGTACATAAACTTTCCTTCATATCCACAGGGCGTAACAGATCCAGCAAGGGAGATTCAGCCTGGCTACTGGTAAACACTTTCTAATTTTAAGGCTGTTTAACCAGTGGTAAAAACTCCCTGAGGGAGGCTGTGGGGTTGCAGGTTTTTAAGAGCAGTCTGCACAAGCACCTGCCAGAAATGGTTTAAATGCAGTCAATGATGCCTTCAGCCACAGGAGCATTGGCTGCCTGGTCTCCCTGCGGCCCCGCTAAACCCAATTCACCTGACCATTGTGGCAGCACTAGGCAGGGCAGCCTCATCCTGCTGGTGGGGATGTGCCCCAAGATTATAATTTCTGACGCCAGAAAGGTGTCAGTGCTGGAGCTGGGTTGAGCCTCGCTGCTCTATGCCAGAGACCTGGCACACGCTGAGCCCTTGTGCCATGTGTGTGCCCTCTGCTCAAGCATTCAGGGACTCAGCTCATCAGCTTTACCTTCTCCACCCTTGAGAAACATTTTTCAGCCTCTTGTATCTCTTCTGTGACTACCATCAGCTTCTTGCTGCGTGATTCCTGATCTCCTCTCCCAGCCTCGTGGGGAGCAGAAACAAGGATCAGGGTAGACCTCAGGAGACTGCTGGAAGGGTGTCTGCTTGGCAGCGAGTGTGAAGTCTTCGACTCCATTATCTGCTCTAGTGACAGCAGAAAGCGGGGAGGCTGGGCTGGGAGATGGGTGACGTGCTTGAGGTGTTGAGGCATATCTGGGTTCAGGAGGCAGCTGGGAAATGGCATCAGGGTCAGTTTAACACCACAGTGCTGAGCAGAACTGGACAGGCTGGGTGTGTGAGCCTGGAGGTTCATGAGAAATGAACATCAAGGCATTTGACTCCATATAGGCTGAGCCAGGGACCAGAGACATGCCTTGGAGCAGCCATGAAGCTTTGGGACAGGCTCCATACTGGGAATGGATGTGCCTGGAAGCAACCGTGAGCATTTCAGGGCTTAGGTGGCAGCTCAGCAGCATGGGATGGAGAGACTGAGGAATGAAACTGGATCTAAAGTGCATCCTGAGTGGTTGCTCCAGTCTTGGGTGCGCTGGTAGGTCCTCCTGTGGGCTGCCTCTTGGACCTGCACCCACTAGTCAGCTGGGCCATGATGTGTCTCACAGCTGCATGTCATGCAACTGCATGGCCTTGATTGATACCTGAAGTATCAATCTTCTTGGACTTCTTTCTAAGGCTGCTTTCTTCTCCGTGAAATCAAACTTTTTTTTTTTAAAATTTGTGACAGTCTGTTTTACCTCTTCCCAATTAGACTGCTTCAGCTAGTTCTTTTATTGGATTCACAGGGTAAGTAAACATGTTACAGGCAGCATTTGCACTTGTAAAGCAGCCTGGAATGTTCCTTCCTTTGGCAGAGCACCAGCACAAAGGTGGTTTGCACTGGAGCTGTTAGTCACTTATTTTCATAGCTTTTGTCACCAGTTGAGACGTGGGAAGAATACTGACATGCTATAATGTTTACGTCAGCTGCCAGAGAACTAAGGAAGAGAAAGCACAAACATCACAGCCGTGATTTAAGGAAAGCTGGAGAAGTGAAAAGCAGTTAATGGCTTGGTAAAATACTGCCTTTGGCACAGTCACAAGAATACTTTCATTTTTTTAGAAACTTTTTTCCTCTTCTTACCTCTTTCCCTACTTTTCCCTCTTTTTAAAGGAAACCATGTCTGGCTAAGCACTGCATGGCTGCACCTGCACGAGGGTGAGCAGGACACGGGGAGAGCCCTTCTGTGGGAGGCTGAGAAGGGAAGGGAGAGCTGATTGGTATCATTGTTCCTAGGCCACATCACTGATGGGTACCGTCATCACCAGGCATCATCACTGCCAGGCTCCAGGCATTCTTGTACACATTAATGAGGTACAGAATGAGACACACAGTGTTCCTGCCCCAGCCTTAATGTGTGAGTGGCAGTGAAGGCTCTCGGCAGCTCTGCCAGTGAGGTTTCCATTTAGCAGCTCAGTTCAAAATTGAGTTGCACAGCTTTTGTGTCCTGTGTCACTTAGATCACAGAGTGCCCAAGAATCTGGGACAAACAATTCGATCCCAAGTAATCAGCAGGGCCTCCCACTTCAATCCTTTCCTTTGCTTTCTGTGCATACACCAACCCTTCTCCAAACAAAGGAGCCCTTTGAAGTAAGGGCTCCTCCTCCTCTCCTGGGTCACCACTGGGATTAAAGGGAGGTCTGATGTGGCAGGAATCTGACAGGAAAATCCTGCAAACAGATACCACCTCTTCAGACCAGAGCACCAACCTCCCTCATGGACAAAACACACGTGGAGAGCACCCATCCCAACCCCAGAGTAAGAGAAATGCTTCCTTTGGTGTACCATCCTGGGGCCGGATCAGAGCCCTCTGGGGCAGGGGGACACTGACCCCATGAAAAAAGTGTCTCATAGAGGCACAGAACATGGACCAAGGCCTGAGGAAATGCCCTTTGTCGCCTTCCCCGGGGTGGCAGTTTTCATCCATGACTCCATCATGGATGGCGGTTATGATTAGGGTGATGACCACCTGAGGTGGTTAGTGTCTCCAGATCTGGCCCAAATGGCAGTTTCCTTTTCTCCTCCTCACCTGAGCACCCAGCGATATGTGTTAGATGTCAAGGTTTCTGTCTGGTATAAGTGACATGGTCTTTCTCTTGTGCAGTTCCTCAGAGAGTGTCTTGTCTCCCTGCCTGGCAGCTGAACAACTCTGCCTTTCTTCTTTTATAGAATGGCAGCTCTCCTGAAACTCTAGATGCAAAAAGAGCAGGAATTTTACTTGGAGGCTGCTGCAATTACAATCTGTGCACAGCACTGAAGGTCTCCTCATGACTGAACCTATAAAAATGTGGTCATTATGTACCTTAATAAGAAAGGTTTAAAATTTCACGGTTGAAATTAATTTGGAACCCGATAAAAATCCAGATAAAATGGAAACAGCCAGGAGGCTAGAGAGTTTTACAGCTCCAGTGTTCTGTCCCATTTCCCAAAATATATTTGTTCAAGTAATTCAAACTGTCGTTACAATTAACTTGTCCTTTCATTTCCCTCTCTGAATTCCCTCTAAGCTAAACACACAATTTTCTTTTATAAATCTGCGTGACAAGTAGAGCATTAAAATCTTTCTTTTTTTTTCCCCCCCACATCATTTATATGCGTTTTGCACAGGTTGAGTTGCCAGGCACTTTTCCTAAGCTAATTTCTATGGTTGCAAGTCATATATCTGCACTCAGAAACTCTCTAAGAGACTTGTGGAAGAAGTCCAATTTGGACAACTGCCCCAGAGGAGTCCTCAGTATTTTCTCAAAGGGAGGAAATCTTAAAAATCAGGCACCAAATTATCTACTAAGGGCTTTGCTGCTTGCTCCAAAGAGCAGGCACTGCAGGGCTGTCCTGGTTCCTGAGTACCTTGCAAAGGGAGGGCTGGGGGCACATTTCATGACATGCCGATGATGTACTCCCCATCTCTATGGTGCTGGCCGGATGAGCTGAGAGGTGAGGCTGCATCTGGGAGCTGTGCAAGTCTCTTTGTGTTGGTGTACAGGGGACTCTGCCCATGGCTGCCACAGGATGTGGCTCCCACATGAAACCCTGGCTAAGGACCAGCTAATGACACACATTGCCAGAACTGAACCCAAATCTCTGGCCAAAATGGCTATATCACCTGCACTGCACCATCTCTCGTGATTACCCTACAGCTGGTGGGGATCCCATCACTTCTGGCAGAGGATATCCTTTTCATGCCCAAATCAAGGATTGCCACATGGTAACGTGATTCCCAGGCACTGAATGCCTTGGGAAATTTGGATCCTCTGACTCTTGCCTCTACAGCGGGCTCTGCTCAGCCTGGCAGTTGCCTCTGTCCTGCTGCAAGAACTGGATATCAAGAGCAATACCTTGCCCTTGTTCGTGCATGATTTCCCTCCCCACCCTTCTCACTTCATCTGAAATGATAATTCCTCTGACCAGGAAAGTAATGACCCTGATATTTTATTTCAAATGTCATTTTTGCAAAGGCATTAATCAGCTTAGTATGAGACTGGATTACATTTTAATTTTAATAGTGCTAAATTCTTGCTGTTTTTAAAATACATTTTCCTGCTCTTTAAATTTCAGCAGGGCAGTATCTCACTTCATTAGACTGTACCTTGCTGTAATCTCTCCATTGTGGAAATTTGACAGACAACAGCCATTATTAAGCCTCACCCGTGCACATTTACTTTAGTTCCATTGTCTGTATTAGGGATAATAGATGAGATTGGGCAGACGGAATCCCAGAGCGGTTTTATCTTCCATCGGGATGTGTGGAGACAATAGTTTCAAAGGCAGAGAGGAAGAATTAAATGACAAGTTCTTATTTGTAGTCAAATGGAGATTGAGATATATACCTGTCATTTGGGCTTCTGAGAATGTGCCACTAATTGTAAAGCAATTATTACAATTTCTTCAGTTGTGGGCTGCAGTTTTCACAAAATGTCTCCATAGCTTATATCTGTAATTAGCAGCTCCTTTTTCCTGAGGAGCTTTGCATACTTCAAAATCCTTGCATGCTTACACTACATTTCTTCCACCTTTTGAGATGCTTTTTACTTAAAATCAATTACAAGTAAGGTGTTTATTCAAAGCTCCAAACAGAATTAAAATCAAATTTAAAGGTCACACCATGAAATGGACTCTTTCCCACCCTTTCCATCTGTTATTTTATTACCAGGTTTGATTACAGCAATCAGCACAGTGCATTGCACCCATTGTACAAGTTTAGCATCAGCATTTCTTGCCTCCTTCTCAACACCTCCTTTTTCAGAAGGAAAATGTGAGCGAACTCCTATTTTTTGCTAATACCTCATTTCTTGGGCCTTGGCTGACAATAAGAGCCTTTTTTCCATTCAACATAGTAAGTTTTCTGGGCATAATAAGTGGTAATTTACATACAATATCTTACAATTTCACATATGTACACTATTTAACATAGGTACACATCCCAGTGTCATCCTACGTTATACATTACACCTGCATATACATTATACATACGTGTACATATCTACATAGTTACTTTTTTTCAGAGACATGATTTGGTTACAAGTAAGTAAAATGACAATGGAGCCAGATGTAGAAATAAGCAGAGCTGACATTTTCTCTCTTCAGAGTTGGACAGGGTTGTCTGGAGAAGGCATATTCATCAGTGACCCCAATCTCCTCTGCTCAAATCTCCTGTGCATTTCTGAAAATCCTGTCCTTCAGTAGGTTCATTGTCCAGATGCTTAGTGCTTCACAGAATTGGGTTGTATCCATCAAACAGTACTCAGAGCCTAGCTTCAGGCACTGTTTCTCAAAACATTGGTTGGATCTTGCAACTGGAAGTTAGACAATGCTCATGGAGTCTCTTGTAATCCAGGGGAAATGAAGGGTGAAATATATGGTCAATCTACACTTCAAATATTCATTCTACCCCCATGTCTAGCCACTCTCCTCTTCATAACCAGAAAAATACAACTCCTAATGCTGCCTGAAGAAGTCTCAGCTTTATTTGTATCTATGTGTTTCCATCTGTTGTTTTAATGAATAATAAGTGTAAGTGGTGTCTAAGTTTGAGTATGGATTTTTTTTTTGCTTTAATGGAAAAACACCCTCTTGATGGTTTTATAGGCTGTATAATTGTGTCTGGTAGAAACAGACATCAATCTCTATCAGTTATGTACACATGCAAATAAAATAACAGTAAGGTATCCTCTCCAAAAGATGCTTATTAGACATTTAACTACAGGCAATGTTCAAACGAAGATGACAGATCTAAAGGACATCTTTGTCATAACTTCTAAGGGAACAGGAGGTGTCATAAAAACAAATGGCAAAGTAAAGCACTAGGACTTCCTGGTTTTTGTATGCAAGGAGGCATTATTCATTGACAGCACTCACTTTTTGGCTGTTATAATGCAGGGGAGCTTTAATAGCATTATAAGGCAGGGGAGAAACCTGCTTTCTTCCACCTAAACTGATTCAGAGGATGCATTTGAACAACTTGCTGTTAACTAAGACAAAATCGGATTCCCAGTGGGTGACCTGCTCAGAAATCATAACCATGCCCCACACATGTGCTAGCTGAGCAAGTTAAGCCCCTTGGCAGCTTATGAGGTAGGGAAATCTTACCGCTCCTCACTTTCTAGATGGAGGAGATGAGGCACTGAGAGGTTAAATGGCACATGCCATGGGCAATGCAGGAAGACTGGCAAAACAGGAGGGCACAGGAACCAAGTTTCCCACTCCCTGTGCTCTCTGGTGACTTCATGGCGCAGTTCTGCTGCCTTTTCCCAGCAGAAGTCCCTTTGCTGCACTGTCCTGCTGCCAGCTGGGGCACTGGTTCCTATTTTGCACTCAGAACTGCTAATGCTGAAGAATGCACTGCTGTGTCCAAACTTTAACCTCTCAAAAAAAGGAGTGGTCTATTTCTTTAATATTTTTTGCATCTTGTAGTAATCTCCACTTGTCAATGTGAGAAGTAGCAAGGTTTCAGCTCCAGAAGTGATGGGTGGTAAGTGCACTGACTGCTGTAGGCTGGGGTACACACAAGTAGCAGGCTGGGGTACAGCACAATCCATGCCCTCAGACACTTCCATGTCCTTCCATGGCTCCTCTTCTTGCCAGCAATTTCAGGTATGTATTTTCTCACTTTGTGACCAGACAGAACCCCATTTATGTCAGTTATTAACAGGGCTGACAAAAAGGGAACATGGTTGTTAATTTTAGTTTCTCTCATTAGTTTCATTTTCAGTAAATCAGTGCCACCATCAGCTTGACTTAGGCAGTAATATTTGAGGGAAAACCCGGGTTTTGTTGACAGTCAACAATGTTGTTGACAATTCTCTGCCACTTTTTACATCCCTTGAGATTTAGGATGTAAGAATAACTGCTAGGGTGAGCAAAAAATTTCACATGCTGACAAATAGTTATGGCTGCATTGGTATTTTTGTTTGCTTTTTCTTTATTCTAACCTCAGTCCTGGCTCTTCACATTTCAAATTCTGCCCGTACTGCTCAGTTTCAGCATGGTAAACAAATATTTTGATGTACATAATCTCCAACACAGCCAAAAAGTCCTTCTGTTTTCTAAAACTAAGGAGCACACAAACCTGAGCATTGTTGTCTTGTTCCTATAATATTTCTACATTTGGGTTTTGCAGTCAGCATTGTTAGCAAAGGAAGGGGAGATATCGCAGGATGAGAAAAGAACTGCCAAGCACATAAGCTTGTTACAATGCTTTGCAACAGTTTCAGAGGCCTTACATCGACCTTGGACCCCACAATATTATCCTTGGCCATTTAATCTCTGCCATACCTCTGTTTCTGCAGAGAGAGGTTCTGGCAGACACATCTCCCTTTTGATCCCAAATGCCTGAACGCATTCAGAAGAAGGACATTGTGTTGACTGGGAGAGGCACATGGGCATGTACAGTTTGTCTGTGGGCTGCACTTTCCTCACAGGAAAACCTTTGAAAGCCATGTGTGCTGCTCTCAACACTGTTTTCTGTTTCTTGGGAGGGAATGCAAAGGTCCAAGTCCTAGGGGCACTGCCCATTCACCATGTGTGTGAATGCTACAGATCAGTTCCCCTTCTCGTTTTAGAGAGTAGGTGCTACCTACTGTGCTCCATTGATATGGAGAACATGTGCCTAAACCTCCCCGCTTTCATTACCCAGGTACCCTGGGAGCCATCTTCTGTGAGTCTGTGGGCTTCTTAGCTCTCCTTCATCATCGCTCCTTACTTATAATCTTATCACTGACACAAACATACCACCTGCACTCTGTAACCAGTCCAGCTGACCTTGGACAGTCAACTGCCCTAATAGTGTTGATGAAGGTCCTATCCAGAGAAAGTAGAATTTGGACCCTGAAAGGAGGCATTCTTCATAAAACAATTGAAAAAACTACGATGCTAATATGCCAAAGAAAAATAAAATAATTTGCTCAAAAGCAGAGATTTTAAAAGGAAAGGTTCATTCAGTTCCCTTACAGGAGATGCACTGTCCAGACCTCCCATTGCAATTTGCATTTATCTAATTCCTTACAGCTCACATGAGCACTGTTTCTAGTTGTCCATTGTACAGCAGGCACCACCAGCATGGCCAGCACCTTTTGGGTGTAAGGGTGAGAAATGGGTTTCAAGTATGAGAAATGGCATGTGTCTTAAAGCAAACAGGAGCTGGGGTGTGGGTTGAAAATCAACCAGCACAGCAGGTTCCTCCATGATGCCTGTGCATGGAGTTGCCTACTGGAGTCCTCCCCTTTGCCCTTCGAAGAAGCAATAAAAGAAACAGTTTTCTGGCTTTGCATCCAGATTTGACTGAAAAAGTACCAACAAAAGAGAGTTTTGTAAATGTGTTCTGAATCAGTCACTGCTGTGCCAGCATGCTTAGCTAAAGACAGACCAATATATCAAATTAAAAAATATGTAGGTGCCTGGGAATATTAATCTTGAGTATTTATCAATTGCATGAGTGTTCTGGATGATGCGCAAGCCCACATGACCCTTCAGGCCTCTCTTCCTTGATGAATTAGATTCATTGCTCATAGCCAAATGCACAACTATCTTTTCTTGTTTTTCTTCTTCTGGTACCATCTGGTTTCTTGTATATCCTGCCAGGCTGTTGGCATCAGATTCACTGCAGTTTCCATCCAGCATCATAGTTTTCGAGTGAGGTATTCCACACGAACATGAAAACTAGAAGCATAAACAAGAAATACGGTTGAACACTGGAAGAACACATGAGCAACAGAAATTATGGCTTTCTATTAACAGACAGCTTGTAAACAGTTGAGCTTGAAATTTTAGTTGAGATGTTTTTTCTCTTTGAACAAAAAAGTCACTTTGGATTTTTGCTTGTGTTCCAGAAGTAAGAAATAGGGTTTAGCTCCACTGCTTGGACAAGCAAATTCAGAAAAGATAAAAAAAATTGCTTAGCAGACATTTAATCAAAGCAAAAAGTTTTCTTAGCTATCTCTTGTTCAGCCTTCCTGTCTTGAGATCCCCTATTTTTCAGTCCTGATGTTTATAAATATTCAAGGACAAGATGCAGTTTTATCTGTAGAAATGGCTTATCCAGTATATGTTATGGAAAAAAAAGGCCCAAGTTCTGGTTTCACAGATACACGTTTTCTTTGTAAATCTGATTTTAAACCAAGGAGATGACCTGCTAAAAGCCTAATGTAAAATCCCCACTGTGTTGAAGTTAATGTCAAAACTTGCGTTGACTTTAGCAGCATACATCCCACAAGTTTTTTAGACTGCAGGTAGAATTTTGAATGGCAAATGCCATCTTCTACTATTCAAAATCTGAAGTTTTCCTGTTCCAGCAATATGGATGATGTATTTGTACGCAATAAAAATGGACTCCCGAACCTTTCTGCTAGGAGATCCTGCCTCTGATTCCCCATAGACCAATTTCCTTACCCAGTAATACTTTGCACCCAATTCCCTCCTCCACCAACTTTGAACTATGGTTTTTCCAAAGACTTGTTTTCAAGGATGTGTTCAGCTAAAATAATTAAATATATATATGTAGAAATTTATATATCAGAAGATATAAATATGTATATATTTATCAATATGGAATATTCAGGGTGCCACTGAAAAACTCTGTCAATATAAAGACCAGATCAGCCACAAGGGAAAAAAGGAATAAATGGATGAAAAGAAGCTTTTCTCACCCTCTTCTGGAGTTTCCTCTCCTTCCGCTCTTGCACCGTCGTCAGGTAATTCACAGCTGCATATTCCAACACCGAGAGGAAGACAAACACAAAACTGACCCACAGGTAAATGTCCACGGCTTTGATGTAGGAAACACGAGGCATGGAAGCATTCACCCCAGTGATGATCGTGGACATGGTCAGCACAGTGGTTATCCCTGGACAGAACCAAGAGAAATAAATGTTATTGACTGATACAGTATGTAAGGCTTTTCGTCTCTAGAAAAGAACCCCAGAAATTATGGTTTACATGATGATCTAAAATATATTCAATATCAAATAAATATGTGTAATGTATCTCTTTTGCCAATGCAGAACTGTTCCACTGCCTACACTTCTGTGCTCATGATGGGTTGAGTTTTGAGGAGCAATGATTTCTCTAGGAACAGCATTTAACTCTCCCCTTAATCTCCAGGGTTTATGAGACAGTGTTGTTAAAACACATTTTTAACACACCTAACCCTAAGGTCAGGTCTGCTAAGACCAGTGGTGACAGGACCCCTGTTTCCCAGCTGTACCATTCTGTGTTACAGGTACTGCCAGGAAGAAAATTAGTATTGACTTTTGGTCACAGCTAAAGAGGACTTGATCTAAATCACTGATCTTAAAAGGAACAGGCAATAAGGATAAAATATTTTGTATGAAGCCATGCAAAAGAAAAGTGTTATGCTTTTACCTCTAGAAATATTTGTCTACAGTTGAAGCTGTGGAAATCAAAACATTTTGAATAACCACCATGGTATTATATAGATAAATGTGTGCGTGTGCATGTGTATGTGTTTATAATTAAATATATGTGTTTATATATGTGTGAGTATGTATATATCTTCACACATGTGTATGTGTATATATATTTAGACAGGTATACATATAATCCTACAAAATAATATATCTTTTGGATTGTCATGGAGAGAAGAATATTGACACATTCCCAAAGCCACTTAAACAGAGAAAACAGAGTCAAAAAGCATTCATAGCTACTTCAACCACTTCAAAACAGTGACTGCTGTGAACACAGCTAATGTTGTTCACTTTTTATCAGGATACAATTTTTTTTTAAAAAAATTGAAACCAAACACATTTCTTTCAGTGGAGCAGACTTCCAGCTCCCTCTTCTCATCTGTTTGCTCTAGTGCATAGCTCTCTAAGTGAAATGAACTTACGAGCTGGAATACTGTGCTTATGCTTTCAGTATTGGAAGCCTTACATATTAATATTCAGAGAGTTTTCCTACTATATTTTTGCCTTCCTTTAACCTGTGCATGGAGTGATAAACAAATCAGCTCTTTTTTATGTTCAGCTGAAAGAATTTCCTCCAGTCCTGACATGGACAAAGCTCTGACTGTTGGGTTTTAGATATCCAGAGAGGCAGATTGGTGTGTGCAGGATTTCAAACAGCTTCTTCTTTGCTTTTCCACTCCTTCAAATGAGAGACCTCACTACCCCAGACACATTGGGTTCTCAGTGCAGGACACCCTTGGGAAAGGAGAAACCCAACATCTGCCTCACCTCAGGGTTAGTGGCCTCTCATCCTCAGGCACTGTAGATGAGAGAGGAAAGCTATGTTCCTTTCACTGCCCCGCTGCTTGTCTGAGGCCTGGAGTTACTGAGATGCCTGAGTTTCCCCAGGGGCACACCAGATGGAACAACATGTTTGAAGGCCAGGCTGGATGTGGCTTTGAGCAACCTTGTCTACTGGAAAGTGTTCCTGCCCATGGCAGGGTGGTTGGGATTATGTATCTTTAAGATCCCTTCAAACCCAAACCATTCTATGATTTCATAATTCTGTGATACCAAAGTACACAGGTGCTGATAGGGCTAGATCCCTTGCTGATGCCTTTCTTTCCCAATTTTGTTAAGATGTGCCACATTGCCACCCTCCAGGCAGTCTGGAGAAAACCACTGGCCACAGCATCGGTGTTGGCTGGTTGGGAAGACACATAGTTGGGCTGGGATATTCACTGTGGCAGCTGGGACATGGCAGGATCCTGCTCTTGAAAGGCATTCATGAAAATTGTAACAGAAGCCTTTAAAGCCCTGTAGGTGCCTGAACTCCTGTGAAACTCTACTGTCACCAATGGGAATGTGTGTCTTAGAACTGCAGGGTGGGACAACAGGGAAAAACTCTCAATTCATCAACTCATAAATACTGAAACTTCTCTGCTCAACTGTAGTTTTAAGACCATAGCCCTTTCTGTCCTGAGCAAAGTGTAGGTCAGGAAGACTGCTTAATGAGGAAGGACTTAAGACAAACTGCAAGTTTTACATTACATTAATCATCAGGTAAAACCACCATTTGATTGCCCAGTCCTGCCAAAACTTTTGCGTTCAAAGATTTTCACACAGTCGTGGCTTTTTGCAATTGTTCTCACCCAAAGAGACCCTGGCAGGAACTGCTCGGTGATCAATCCAGAAGGACACCCAGGACAACATGACCATGAGGGTGGCAGGGAAGTAAGTTTGGAGCAAGAAGAAGAAGATGTGTCGACGTAAAGTGAAGTTAATGTAGAGTCGATTGTACCAACCTTTGAGAGAGAAGGAAACCCAGAATCAGTGGAAAGAGCCTTGAAAGTAGGCACAGAGAGGTAAGATCCTTCTTTTGCTCTTTTAATTCTAAAGAGTAGTGAAAAAAAGAAACTGAGCTTACAAAACATGTATTGTCCAGACCTTGGAGACTACATTTCAGCAACATAATCCCAAGAGCCCTCTCACAGGCAGTTAATACAGCATTAGTTTTAGCAGTAGTATTAAATCAGAAAACATCAATACCTGTGCTACTGTAGAAAGCCAGTCTTGATGTAGTGTGGAATTTCTGTATCAAAAACTGAGACAAAGAAATCTTTTCATCAGTTTTCAGAGATTCATTCCCATTTTTCCAGTACAGCATCAGATCTTCATCAGTGTAAGCATCTTAGGGAAAGAAGAAACATGATGTGAAGTGACTTTAGCTTGGAGGTTTGACAAAAGCTAACAGATGCAGTCTTTGGCATGAACTAATGCCACAAATAACTTTGCTAACAGCACTGAGTTAAAAAGATCGCATGATATAATATATCATGACAAAAATAAAAATTTAGGTCATCCTGATTCAAGGAAACACATCCTCTTTTTACTCTACACTGATGGAATGACAGCTAGAATGGCACTCTTCTGAACATCACAGATGAAAATTAATTGACAAGGTATTGCTAACTGATAAGAATAGATCAGGAAATAATCATGGGTAACACACTCGAATTCAGAGGAAGGAGGAAACGCAGACACCTCAAACACAGACACTATCTTATAATGATAAAAGCAAAAAGGATAGGATCTGAAGCAAAAGTCTAGAAATATTTTAAAAGTATATATGAAAAACAGAATTTGTTATCACACTAGGTATCAGGAATGGGGAATGAGAAATAGGTTATCAAGATGGTCAGGGGCTGGAGCACACAGCATAAGAGGCTGGGGGAACAGGGTTCGTTCAGCTGGAAGAAGAGCAGTCTGTGGTGGGGTCCAGATGCTGCCCTGTTGAGGGTCATAGAGAAGATGGCAGCAAGCTTTTCTCAGACTCTTCATCAAGATAGAGAATGAAAGGACAAGAGGCAAAGGATGCAAGTCACAGCAAAGGGTTGTTTCCAAGGAGGTAAAAGTAAATTTTTCAGGATGAGGGCTGTCAAATATTTGAACAAGTTGCACAGAAAAGTTGTGGAGCCTGCTTTACCTTGTTCAAAACCCAACTGGACACAGCCCTGAGCAACCCACCATAAAGATCTCCCTGCTCTCAACAGGGAGCAGCTGACCTCAAGGAGCAGCTGACCTCAACATCAATGTCAATTACCCTGTGATTCTGCTGTTTGTAGAGGAATGTTTCAGTTAAACAGCTGGGAGCACCTCAAAACAACTAGATGTTAGTCTACACTGGAGAAAGTTTACAGAACAGCCACGAAAATTTTACTGTTCACATTAAGTTCTCCACAGAACAAATCCTTCCCAAAGAAGCTTAGCCCAGGTCACAGTGTTTGCAGGATCAGGATTATGTCATAGGATGTTTTCCTTGCAAATTCCCCTGTCTAGCAGCATAAGGACTAGACATACAACACTGTTGAGTCAGTAGAAAGTCTTTTAGTAACTCTGGTGAACTATCTTTTCAGGCCCTGAAACAAAAAGTATTCTGAAATGTATCCAGTGCAACGCTTGTGCAGCCAGCCATGAAGCACGTCTAGCAAGAAACACAGATACAACATACAGCTTTCCAGCTCCAGAGAACATGTCTGAGAGTCCAGGGGGAAGCAGCTGAAGTCCATGTTGCACATTGCTGTCACTGTGACCCTAGAAGTTGAAAATGAGAAGAAAAGTTGGTTTCTATGAGGAGCAATCAAGCAGAATGTTATTGCAGATAATTATTCCGCAGTTTTAAAGCCAGAAATTATGCATGATGTTAGCATAAAATCCCCAGGAAAATTACCAGTTATCCAAGTTCAAACGAGCTGGATTATACACAGAAACTCCAAAGGAAGATGTAATTTCAATATCTACCAAGGAACTAAAGCACTATCTTGAACATTACAGTTATACTAATGTCAGTACAGTCAGTCTACTGTATTTTACAGCCAAGTATTTACCTACAAAGCAACAACATAAAATAACTTCACCATTTACATTTGAAGTTTCTCTTACGTACAGCTCAATTAAGGTTTCCTCATTTTCCCCATTGTTCACTTCCCTCCATAGTCACCCCAAGAATGATCCAAGTCTGAGAACATGACCATTCTTATTGCAAGCCACAGAATTGCTCCACTACATATATTTTTAAAGAAAAAACAGTTTCTTTCTGTTCTCAATAAAATTATTTTAATCTGAGGGGTGTATTCCTGGGCCAGGGGACGTAAAATGGATGCAGCTTATTTTCAAGAAGTGAGATTTGCCTCTGTTAAGTTTAAGTCTAAGCTAAAGAGCTGCAGCAATCACAGCTCCAGTCTTTAAATTAGTCCAGTTGTGCACATTGTTACATAAGAAATTTTCCAGTGGGTCAGTGAACTTTCTCTTGCAGACGGATTTGCAGTGGAGCTCTCAATTTAGTAGGCTCAAATCAGCTGTGACTCATCGTTTCAGAAGCCAACTTACGTTAGCTGTGACCATTTCCTAGATTTATTGCAGACGTTGATAAAGAACTTTTCTTCTGTTGCAGGGATTTAGATGCAAATCCTACCCTGATCTACACACTCATCACCCTTGAAAAGCTCACACTCTTCATTTTGACCATAAAACTAGAGCAAATTTTTGCCTTATGTGCAAAATTTAAAGAATATTTTTGGGGATGTGCTCCAGAAGGTCTATTGAGGCAATGACCTCCCCTAATTGTGTGTAGCATTTAAGCATTGTGTAACTCAGTCTCATTATTTTCTTTCTTTCTGTTATTTTCTTTCCTCAGCATCACCTGAACTATGGCACAACCTGTGGTCAATAACAATTCATTAGCCAATGACAGCACAGAAAATCAGCTCATCAGTAACATATTCCTCAATTAGAGTGAAGTGTTTAGGTGCCCATGAAAGCCCAAGGCTGAAATGAGGAATGAAATGTGTCTCAGCCCAGTATCAACCCCTTGCAGATATCTCAAGACATCTGAGGGTATTTCCAGTATGACCAGACACCCATGTTTTGTCAGCCAGATCTCATTCTGTGTCCTAAACACTACCAGGCCCAAATGCCATGAAGATTCTCATTCTTCTTTGTTTTATGTATCAAATTATCCATTTAACTCTTGTGCAGTCAGCTGTGGTTAACTCACAGTTTTCTCTCTTGTGGATAACATTAAAAATTCACATCACCTCCTTGACAGACCACAGAAAATTTTGAAAGTAAATACTCTGCATGTGTGCAAATGAGCAGACCTGAACAGAACCAATGTTTGCCATTAAAAATACTTGTTCATTCATTCTAGTTGTTGAGCACTGCTAATAAGTGGATTGCTCCTGGCTTTAGAACATGAGAACTGTGGGGTGTGAGCAATGGAATCAGATACTCGGTTACACAGAGCAACAGCTGTCAGGAAGGTCCCTACCCTCCTGCTGCTCTTCTCCCCTCAGTACTGACCCAATCTTTCATCTAACCTCATTCTTTATTTTTCTTTCTGCTTCTTGTCTCTCCAGCTATATGGCACCTTCATCCTCATCCAGTTCCAAAAAAATACACAGTGTCTTTAGGTGCTTAGTTTAGGTGTGGGTAATCAGATCTCCCATTCAATAAATGGATTTATTAAATGGGTTCATAACAGGGAAAGTGTTCTTAAGTGTTAGATCAAGTTGGGACTTTCATCGTTAAATCAGGCAAAATGAAGTAGCCATATGATGCATTTCTTTCTTACACACACACATATATTTCTTTGTGATTTTACAAATTTGTCCAGGGCTTTTAAAATAAATTCAGTAGAAATGTATTTAGACCATGAAACTTTGCTTTAGAGTGAACTTTAGAACCCCCTAGTTCTGTGGGATATTGTCTTACTTGGGACAATATTGTCCTACTTGGGACAGTATTGCCCACTATGCTTATTCTTCAAAGAGAAAGAGTATCCTGAATAAAACTTTATAGAAAATCTTTCCTAGTTTTTGAGAATCATTTTGCCATATCTGAAGTGAGTAAGTTCCAGAAAGATCCTAGAACAGAAATCCTTGGCTAGAAAACATTCCAAGGTCTCTGTACACTGAGAGTATGTTTTCTGCCCTGGGGAAATATCCTTTTGTTTGGGCTCTTCAGCTTTTCTCCTCTGGAAGTGTATTTTTCTCCACTTTTCTTTTTGCCGCCTTCTGAGGTAAATGAAATCTGCTGGGATGGTGATGTGAGCAGCCGTAAAGGTGGCCTGGTTAGAAGGGGAAACTACTGAGCAGAAAAGCTGCCTTCTGAAAAATATTGACAGAGAAAGGCCTGCCAGCCTGGCAGGCAGACATATCCTTGAGAAGCACAGCTGGCCTCTTTGAAATGCAGACAGGGTACCTAGAAACTGGAGACATCCTGGAATACCATCAACAACTGCAAAAAGAAAGGGATTTAAAAGGCAATTTATTGTCTGGAAAATAAAAATTTTTCTGAAAGAATAGAAAACTTCATTATCTATTATTCATCATAGGTGAAAAATAGAAATTACCAGCAACTATCGGCTGCTCAAAGTGATAGTGTCCTACACCCTCTTATATCTCTGGATATAAGAAGGACATGACTTTTACCCAAAATGAAGCCTTATTCTCTGAGAACTTTCCATGCTGCATGTACTTTTTCATTCCTAAACAGGTTGAATTCACTGTATGAACTTTCTACCAGCTTTTGGACTCTCACTGGGGGTGGCTGGCTGACTCCAGACCCTATGACTCAGAGCATCTCTGAAGTGCCACTCTGTCTGTTGTCTCATTGGATCCCTCTGGGCCCACTTTGGAGGCTGTTTCAGTTTGTCCTTCATTCATAGGATGATTTGGTTCACCTGATGATGGAATCACTTGATATCATTATTATGCATTCATACAAGCAGTCTATCCTAAGTGTACCTGCTGGTATACTGCTGAAGAGTTGCTCCACTAATAATAAGTAACCAGTGAAAGCATATACCTAGTTAGTTATATCTGTTATTGGCTGTTGCCACATGATTTATGGACACTAAATTACTGATTGCTAACAGTAATTTGAAATAGCTTGATATGTATATTAATATTCACTTTATTCATCATAGGTAGTGGTGATTTTGTGGTAGTTTACTTGCTAGCGGTGATTTTTGTGGTATTTTTGGTAATCTGTAATAAGGTAGAGAAGTTTAGAGGATTAAGCCTCCATGTCCTTGTGTATTACAGAATTCTGCAAACCCACCGTCACGATCTGCGTACACCCACAGGATGGGTAACCCTCCAGGTCATGACAGACGTGCCTCAGGATTCTTCCAGCCAACAAATCTACTAGAAAACCTGACTGCCTTTAATACTGCCATTTTAGCATCAATAAATTTAAACCTTTACATCAACACAAAAACACCACCACAACAACAAAAAAAACATTTCTAGACAAACAGGAAGAAAAATAGGATAATTATAGAGGTCACCATCTGGTATATCAGCAGCTTCCAGTTTAATCACAGACTGACCCTGGGATGAACATTCCTGTTTGACTAAGCCCTCCACTGACTGCAAAGAGTTGAGGGCATGCTTCCCCTGGGGAGGAGGTTATCCTGTTACTCCCCAAAGCATGGGTTCTTTTAGTTTCCTGCAAAGCATTTTGCACCGCACTTTCTGGAAACAGGGCTCTGCATCTGCAGTGTGAGTAGCAGGATTGGCAGTAGCAGTCCTAGTGATCACCAAAGTAAAGCCAGGACTAAAATTGACAGCAAAGCCCCAGGGGATGCTCGGGAGCAGCAGGGCTGCACTGTTACCTCATGCTGTAGAGGACATGACCATCAGGGAACACTCGCAGCATGATGTTGTCTGTGGTGGTATCATGAATGAAGGACCTCTTGGAATGCACAAAGAAGACATCAGGGACCCAGATCTTCTTCACCAACCTGCCGTCAAAAGTCATGCTCTTGTTGTTGGTGCTGGGAAAGGAGAGACGCTCATCCTTCCAGTAGTGCCTTAAGTATAAGGTCATAGTGAAATCCTTCACAAAAAATGAAGAGAACCAGAGAGAGGTCTGTCAGTGCTGCACTCTACAACTGGGACACACCAGAAAGAAAACTCACTCCTACCGGGTAGATAAAATCTCTCCACTCTCAACTCCCGATTCTTTCCTAGGCCAATGATCTCTGTGAATAGATTTTTCTGAAAAAATAATTTCAGCCAAAACAAAGCATAAACAACCAATGAATGTATTACAGTACGCAGTAATGTTCAGTCACAAAAGGGATATAAATATGCCCCAAGAGAAGCAATGCCCCAGGGAAACAATTCTTCAACCCTGGCAAAATTATCTTGCAGGACTACAGTATCAATATCATGATCTAGAGGAAAAATTGTGAAAGTTAGCTTAATGATGAGGCTAAACATTAAGTAATTTATCCCCAAAAGAACTAAATTGTTGCAAACAGCAACCAAGTGACTACCATAAAAGTGTATAAATAAAGTTCCCTTTTTAAGCTTGTTGAGAGGGCAGGAGCTTCAGTCACATAATAGAAAACATCTGTTTGTTGATTCCAACCTGGCAGCTGTTGCTTTCAGAGCTGAATCTACTCTCTCATTCTGAGATCAAATACACTTCTTTTCTTTATATTCACAATTAAATGAGGGGTTATGGTAGCTGCCAAGCCTGAAGAGGCAACAACACAGGCCAGGACCTCTTTCTAGCTGCGCAGCAACCGCTTTCTAAAAACAAAACCAAACAGTCGGTTTGGTGTAAAACGGTAACAAACAATCTCCCCTGACTCTCCACTTCAAAGGGCTGTCTGGTAATAGCCTTGCATTGCCAATAGGTTTTTCATTAGTTTGCAAAGAAGGCTCTAGTGCCAGTCCTCATCTTGCTGCCCTGTATGGGACAGAGCTGGCCAGACACCTCCCTCTCTGACCGTGGCAGAGACCTGCCAGGGAGACACTTCTGCTCATCCACCTGCAGGTCCCCATCTTAGGCTGGTCCCAGGCTCCACTGCCACTCCTCCCGGGGATGCTGCCAGCTTCTGTTCCCTACTGGCCACTGGCCACCTTCCCCTTACAACTACAGTCACAAAGAAATACTTCCAGCAACTGCTGCTACTGACAGGTTTAGGTTGCAACCTGATTGGACAAGTCACCCTCAGGGGAGGGACATCAAGCTCATCGGCTTGACTAGAGCTGGGAAAAAGGAAATAAAGGAAGAGGTACAACTGTTGCTTTCTTAGGAGTCAGTGCAAGTTACAGCAGAAGTCAAAAAAGGGGTAAAAAAGAGCCTGGATATTCAGGGTCACCATTCCCTTGACCATGACATGAGATGGAGGGACATGGGGCTCCAGGTGAGGAGGACCATTGTTGTAGTTTAACCCCAGCAAGCATCTAGGTACCACACGGACACTTGCTCACTCCTCCTTCCCCCAGTCCCCAGCCAACGGGATGGGGAAGAGAATCAGAAAAAGTTGGGTTGAGATAAGAACAGTTTAATAATTGAAATAAAGTAAATAATAATAGTAAGATTAATGAAAAGGGTCATAAAAAGAGAGAAGGACAAAACTCCAGAAAACACAAGTGATGCACAATACAGTTACTGACCAATTCCCAGCCTGTCCCCCAGCAGCAATCAGCCCTCCCAGCCAACTCCTGCCAATTTATATACTGGGCATGACCTTCTATGGTGTGGAATATCTCTTTGACTGGTTCAGGTCAGCTGTCCTGGCCATGTCCCTTCCTGTCTTTCCATGCTCCTCCTCACTGGCAGAGCATGAGACACTGAAAAGTCCTTGACTTAGGGTAAGCACTACTTAGCCACAACCAAAACACTGTGTTATCAGTATTATTCTCATACTAAATCCAAAACACAGCACTGTACCAGCTACTAAGAAGAAAATTAGCTCTATCCCAGCCAAAACCAGGACATCCAGGCAGCTGGAGGTTGCGGCTGCAAAATGCCTCTGGGCAGCTCCATCATCAGAGCACAGGGGAACAGGGAACAATGTGACATCGACCACAGTAAGGCTTACAGCCTCCACAGAGGAGGTGGAAGAGACTGCCCGTAGGGACAACATGGGAAGGGTCACACCACATTCCAGGTCACCCCTTTCCCTGTCCTACCAGGCAGGAGCTTCTCTCTCATCCTCACCCCCTTTCTCTCTCCAAACAGGCCAACACAATGGTCAACTCCCCTCTCTCTCCAATGGTCAACACATAGCACACCAAATGCTACAAACACAATGTCAAAGTGACAGCTAAGTATAAAATCTAAATAAAGGAAGTTTTTCATGGCATGAGTCAAATGAGGCAGTTAGTTGACAGCTTGTTCCTTTCTGACCAGCACACATGCTATTTACAAGCAAAAAAAAGGGGGTTATTTCAGCACTCACAAGTAGGAAAATCCTTTAGGAAACAAGTTTTTACAAGAAACTGAGAGAAGGATAGTACCTGCCAGAGGCACAGCAAATGAGCATACACAAGTACCTCGATTTTGACAGCACATTTCATGTTTGTGCTGTGCTCCAGGCAGCCCCAAGCGCGTGCCCTGTCAATGTACACAGTAGCAGCCCATCCATGCCGACCAGACAGGCACCAATTTTAAACCCTCGTGCTTTAAACATCTCCTGGCTGCTCTCACTGACATGCACTGTCTTGCAGATATGATGGGTTGCGGCTCCTGACACTTCTGTCTGGTGCTTCTTTGGAGCATCAGGTGCCTGCTCAAGCAGTGAGCATGTAAAGACTGCCCAGCTGACAGCACCTGATTTCTGGGCCCACTAACCCTTCGGAGCAGTTTGAAATAAGCCCTGCCTGCAGCCTTGCCCTGCCTGCAACTGGCAGCCAAGGAGGGCACCCTGCTGCAGGCACAGGCAGCCCCGGTCCCCTGGCCATGCTAACAGCTTACTGCCCGCTCTCCTCTCTGCAAACACCCATGCCAGGACAGTCTGTTGGAGAAACAAACCCATGAAATTCAGACTGACCTGAGAGACCATTCTTCCACCCCAAATACATATCAGAAACTGCTGTAGAAAGTGCTTGTCATGTGCTGGGAAAATAGGACTGCTATCAACAGCCAAGGGAGAGAACTGACCTCAAAGCTTTCTGATAGGCAACACTTTTGTCGAAATCAGATGCTCCTGATAGAAATCATTGTGAATTATTTACTAATTAGGTCTCTTTGCTGCTCTGACATTATCTTGATATACTAGAGCCCCAGTTCTCCTTGTGGCGGCAATTTCCTATGCTGACACCTCCCTCCTACACACCTCATTGCATGCATACCCCCAAACCCACTCTTTCAATATCCAGGCAGCCAAGCTCCCTTGTTTAATCCTAGAACACAGAATAGTTTGTGTTGGAAGGGATCTTTAAAGTCATCTACTCCAACCCCTCCAAAGTGGGATGAAGATGTAATTGCACCACAGTAAAAACCACTCAAGCTAAAGCTCTTCCTTTGTGTTTTGTCTAGACCAGAGAAGATAACCAAGAACAGGGAGGAAAAGGCAGAAGGAGGAAGGAACTAAGAAGCTTCCTCTTCTCCTCTATGTTCCTCTTTGCACTTTCCTTTCCAGTGTTTTTATTCCATTTCCTACAGCAAAGAACAGAACAAAACAAAACCAACAACAACAAAGCCGACCAAAAAAACCAAAACCAAACAAAAACAACAACAACAAAAAACAAACCCACCCAAAACTAAACCAAAAAATACACAAACCCCCAAACAAACAGACAACACTCCCCCCCAAATGTATATGAATATTCATGTGAACTCAATGTTTCCCTAAGGAAGAAAACTCCTGCAGTAAGCACAGCTTATGTGAACTTCACCTTATACCTTCAAACCTTCATACGCAGCTGTTTATATTTTTCACTGTGATAGATCTTTCATAGCACTGATTATTCTCCCATTCAAGGTCGTTTTTTCCTTCATGCTTTTAATCTTTATCTGTAGATACAGAGATAAGCCTTTGATCACCTGGTTTTATCAAGTCTTTGCTTCTGAATATGAGCCTCTGAATTTCACAGATGCTGCCATTACTTTGATCTGACCAATAATTTGAAACCCACAGGTTTCAGGTGGGAACGACATTTTATGACTGGAAGTAATTGAGGCTTAGAAGAGGATTACGTACCATGTCAACTTCAGAAATACTGTCCAAGCTTTCAACTTGCACATCCACCCCAACAGGAATTGCAGGGCCTGAAAGAGAAGGAGATTTAGATATCCAAATAACTGGTCTTTCATATCGTCTGCATTTAATTAGCACTATAAAGTGCAAAACATTTCTGAACTTATGTTACACATTTCTGTCAATGGCTCTTCATGAGGGGGCTGGGGTAAGAGTCAGTGAATAACCCTGTAAGGCCCCTTTTGAAACATCGATTATCTTCTCCTTGGCATATACTGAAATGTTGACACTCTGCCCAGCTAATCCGGAGTTTGGATGAAACATTTGCATACATTTTTAAAAACTGAGCCATCCCTTCTTAAATTTTAGGCTTTTATGAACAAATTTAGCCCCAAGAAGAGGGGACTGAGATGAAGAAATGGCAAGCAACGAACACTTCCTTGAAGGTTTCTCATTTTTTACCAAAAAGACAAGCTATATTAATCTCTCAAGAGCCCATCACCATTCATATGACTCACTGATGATGTTACTAGTTTTCCACAGCACTTTCAAAATTAGCAACCAAAGAATTCACGAAGAGTAAATAAGCAGAAAATGTCCCATAACAAATGCACACTCTTCCATTATTAGAAACCTTGTATCAAAACTTCACTGTAGGCTGCTGCTCATTAATGATCAGGACCTGGTGAGGTTACTCGTCACCATAGTGTGCCCTCATGCAGCTTTTTCCCATTTCTTGTGGTACATGCCTACAGAGATGTGCACACCAAGCACAATCCACCAGGGCAGGTTAACAGGAACTGCTGAGGAACAGTCCAGGTGGATCCACTGCCACCTTGTGCTGTCAGTGTGTGGCACTCAGGGCTCACACCGATGAGCTGATCCAGCCTATCTCCAGCTTAGGCACTGCCAGTGAGACAGACCCTGCCAAAGGAAACAGAAGCTCTGCAGACACGTCTGGGACTTGCGCAACAGAAACGAATTTTTCCAAGGACCATAGTGGCCTCCATGACAATTTGTGAAGATTTGTGAAGTTTTTCAGCACCCAGATTTTCAATCTGATTAGCAGTCAGATGGTATGTAAGAGGCACCACAGTCACTTTGTAAACTCAGACCCACACATAGCAGGGCTGGCTGCGTGCATGTATTTAGCTAGAGTAGCATCTTCCTTGAGACCACAACCAAGGTCTGAACACACCATGAGCCTAACGAGAGAGCAGAAATAGTGTTCTGAGAAAGCAGGGCACTTTTGCAAGCTGCCATCTGTCCTGCTCCGGTACCTGCTGCAGCTTGTACACACTCTCACACATCTTCAGGGCTTTTGAACACAGCCTTAGGTTTGCCTCTAAATGGAGGAGAAAGCAGAACCAACTCAGCTTCGGTAGGGAAAGGCTAGTCACCATGTCCATGAGACAAGCTGCAACTGGCCCCAGTACAGGTTTGCTAGGGCTTTGATAAGCCAGCTTCACCAAATTACAGTAGAGCATGCTGATGGTGACACTGTCCCCCTTCTGCGGGCACACTTCCAGACTGTTGTGCCCACACCCTCCATCAGTGGTTGTGCTGGGTACAGGCATCCTGAAGGAAGCCCTGTGGGGCAGAACCAGGCTCCTCAGAACCACTAATTCCAATTTAAGTGACTGTTTCCCCAGCGATGAAGCTGAAACTTGGCTAATCCAGCACTCCTAGATGCTCATAAACACTTAACATGTCACATTCAGACACACAGCTGTGCACTTCATACTTTGAAAAAATTGCCAGCAAGAATTTGCAACTGAGAGAAAGATTTTCTATACGGCATCCCTCCTGCTCAGTAAAACATGTTTTGGTTTGGTTTTTTAAACAAGGTAGCAAAAAGCACTTTATGTATGGTGATAACAAGCATCTGTTTGTAGTCAATTTTTTAGGGTTTTTTGCCTTTTTTGCCTTTTTTTTGTTCAGATATATCAAAGTAATACATGGTGAAAAAGAGTCATACATCAAGAAGAGCTTGGGCGGTAATTCAAATACTTACCTATTTGTTTAATGCCTTTAAATACCTAATAGCTCTTCAGTGAGGTCATGTTTGTGACACTTAACTTGGGCCTCTGTTACAGCAAGCCTCAATGCTCAGAGAAAGTCTCTTCAGAAAGACTCCACAGTCCAACACAGCCCATGTCAGGGCAGGCACAAGGATGCCCCCAGCACTGCCTCTGTCTTTTACTGGAGAAAGCATGAGTCATTAATATTACTTATTGTCATATACAGCTGGGGACACTGCAGTAGTGCCCCTAGTGCTTCCAAAAAGCCACATCATGGTAGCCACAGTGCTAATGGAGAAGACATGGTCTCTGCCAGGATGGCTTCACAGCGCAATGAGGTTGTGCCAGAAGAGGATGGCAGTGGTTGGCTGTGGTACTTCCCACTGCGGCTCCCTGGTGCCGAGGGGCTGTGTGCCCAACACAAGCTGGGCAGTCCCCCACAGCTTCCAGACTGCAAGAGAGACTCTCTGTGTATGAATCCTGAATTTAGTCTTGATTCAGGAAATCAACACCCACCCAAAGTCTGTTTACTGCTGCAATTTCTATGCCTGTCTGAACAATAATCACAGATTAAAAACAAACAAATAAACAACAAACAACTAAAAACCAAACACACAAACATAAGAACACTGCCAAGTTGGCATATGTCCTGCTGTCCTATTCCTTCCCTATCCACTCTTGAAGATAAAAGACTGTGTCCATATTCTTTTCTTTGTTCGTGTTCCTGCATCAAATGCTCAATAACCAGCAAGGACATTGCAAGGACAAGATCTACGGTTCAGTCTGGAGCTGCCATGAAGCTTTATTAAACCCAAAATAAAAGGTGTTCCATGTTAAGCCAGATAGTCTGGAAAGCCCTTGAGAGAAGAGGCCCAAAGCAGTGCTAGGTGTCTGGTACATCAGTGAAACTGCTTTTACTTATTTCTTTTCTGCAGTTAATCATGAATTTGAGGGATAATAAAACAGTGATTGTAATAGAGAGAGGGAGAAATCATTTGAACACGGGACTCAAATGTTTAGATCTTAATATAGACAGTATGAAGATGAGATTGTAAAACCAACTTATCAGTGGAAATATTTACTCTGCCTTTCCTGGGCAAACTCTTACTACAATCAGCAGGAGCAATCACTGCTTTTCCCTTCTCCCTGCTCCTCATTCAGCACGTGAGGCTGAGGCAATAAGAGAGCACACAAGGGGAATGAGGGCACATTGAGACACCTAGACCTTTTGGAGGAGGCTTAGACAAAAAGCTGGGCTGAGCAGGGAAGGGTGGATGAAGGGCCAGTGGGGACAGCCCAAATGTTGCTGCCTGTGAGCTAATGACAGGAATACAGTGATCATCAAGTCCTGCTTCAGGTGATGAGCACAACTGAAGCCCTGTCTAGAAATGCTCTCTTTAAACCACAGAAACAAACCCTGGGTTTCCTTAAAGGTATCTTGGTTACAGCACATACCATTGAATTAAATGGCTGTGGATCAGGCACCAACAATGTCAAGAGATCTTTGCTCTCACTAACCCTTGGAGTCAATTAGGAACTGCTATCTTTTCAATCCTGTCCCTTGGTCAACTAAACTCTTGAACCACTGAGGCTACAGATGCTTTGCCAAATTCCGTATCAAATTCACTAGGGATGAGCAAAAAGAAAAAAACCCTTTTTACTGAGAGGGAGCAGAGCATGATGAGGGTGTGGATGTGAGGGAACAAGAATAGCTGAGATGGTATACAACACACTGAACTGGTAGACAGAACAAGTAACTTAGATTACAGCATTAAATGCAGAAAAGCCCTCATCAACCAACTTGTCCTTGTCATAAACAACGTTTTATCAAAATTCACTTTTTCTTCAGAAAAAAGAAATATAGAAGGATCATCTTAGAGAATTATAAGCAGGAAAAGACCTGAATACTGTAACACTGGAGAAATCTCAAAGCTCGAGGATGTTCACTGCTGCACAGGCAGCTAAACAGATCCATGTGAAAGCTGTGGATTTGGCTGACTAAAAGAAGCAGTAGTACTTTGCTCGAAGACTGCAGTCCAGCAAAGCTTTTCAGCTCATACTTTATAGTCTCTGAAAAGTATCAGCCAAATTCATGGAATTATTCAAATTAAACAAGTGTTTATAGATCAAGGTCTAGAGATAACTTGTATAACCTTCAACTAGAGCATTTCTTCCAGAAACAGCAAAGATGTCAACATTTATTATCCCCCATCACTGTCCACAGAAATATCTTGCAGAACACAAATCCTAATTCAGCAGGACTTATACAACCAGAAAACAAACAGTGGACTCTTAAAGCTTCATAAAAATCACAGGCTTCTGCTTACAACACAGAAATGAACACACCAATAAACAATTCCCCTTGCACCTCAGACACAGAACAGTGGCAGTTTTCAGGTAAGCTCAAGACACTCACACAATCATTAGCAAATGTGACAATATAAAAATTGAAAATGGAAAATAGAAGATTTCCCTTTTGAAGGAGGTATTTGTGTGTTAAGAGAGGATTTAAGTGACCTGAAGCACAGACCAAGGTTGATGGGAGTGCTTCTGCTTTCTCCCTTTCTTGGACAGTATCCACTAGCCCCACAATTTCTGCATGGGGTTTACATATAACATGATGGAGCATCCTTGCAGCTTCTCACTGTAAAGGTACTGCCTTCTGAAAATGAATTCACATTTGGAATCCACTCACAGACATACATCATGCCTTATTATTGTAAATTCCTGCACATCACTGTTCTAGCCTCAAATCAAACTTTGATATTGAAAAGATACTTAGTAACCAGCCTGTAAAGGTGTTTGTGGCTTCATATATCTTTATTCCTTTGTAGAGTTCACAACCTGGTGTGCAGAGAATCAGTGGCAAGAGTGCTCCCTCATTTCTTTTTCCCCTGCAGTAAATTGCTCTGTTTTGAGACCTACTCTCCAGTGAAAGCCACTGCACATTCAGTTTAGGTGCTGCACATAGAAAAGACGGTGTTCAGAATACCTTTACAAAAAAACTGCCTTGTATCTGCATTCCGTGGTTGTACAAGGAGAACAGACGG